AAAAAAAAAAAAAAAGCCTGGTAATGGTAGAACAGTAGATATATAGACCAATGAAGAGTTCAGAAATAAACCCACCCATCGATGGTCAATTAATTTTTGACAAGGGTGCTAAGCCCATTCGATGGGAAAAGAAGAGTCTCTTCAATAAATGGTGCTGAGAAAATCGAATTTTCATATGCAGAAAAATGAAACAGGATCCATGCCTCACACCATACACAAAACAAATTCAAAATGGATTGACCACCTAAAAGAGCAAACTAAAACCATAAAACTCTTAGAAGAAAACAAAGGGACAATGCTGTGAAGTGTAGCTTTTAACAATGGATTATCTAATATAACAAAACCATCAACAGAAAAAGGCAAAATAAATAAATGGTATCTCATAAAAATTGAAAACTTTTATTAGAAGATTTTACCAAGAAAATGAAAGGATAAGTTATCGACTAGGGGAATATCTTTGGAAATCATGTATCTGACAATAGATAAGATAAGCCAAATAACTAAGATATAAAACACTTTGACAACAAAAAGATAAATAACTCAATCATGAAATGGGCAAAGGACCTGAACAGGCATTTCACCAAAGAGGACATTCAAATAGCCACCAAACACATGAAAAGATGCTCAGTATCATTAGCCATCAGAGAGGTGCAAATCAAAACAATGAGATAGCATTTCACTGCCACTAGGATGGCTAAGATAAAAAAGGTAGAAATAATCTAAATGCCCATCAACAAACAAATGGATAAACTGTGGTACATACATACAACAGGGTACTACTCATCCTGTAGGAGAAATCAAGTCTTGACACATGCCGTAACATGGATGGACTCTCTATAAGATATTATGGTGAGTGAAATAAGTCAATCGCAAAAGTACAAATATTGTATGACCTCACTTACATAAAAAGATAAATGTATAGAGAACAAAGTTTATTAGTGGTTACCAGGGACAAGAGAGGGGGGAAAGGGAAGGGTTAATGGTGACAGTAATATTGCACTGATTAAGGGCAGGGCTGCACAGCTGATTACTGCATCTGCTGTCAGTAAGTTGTCCATGTGTACAAAGTTGAATTGGCCAAAGTTGTGTGATAGATATATTTACAACAACAAAAAGAGAGTAGTTGCTGAGGCTACTTACATACAACCAAATACCTGGTTTTTTGGTTTGGAGCCATGGTTTTATGGGACAGCCCAGTTATTGGGTTAATAACGTTAGTGTTTCTGTTCTCCCTTCTAGTTCAATGAGTAGCACCTGGGGTCTTAAACGTTTGCAAGCGGTCATCCAAGGCACAAGAATTGGTCTTTATTCGCCTTGAGCAAGAAAGGAAGGAGAATAGGAAGAGGATATGAAATGTGTGGTTAATTGCCTCCATGAACAACTGCCTCATTTGCCATGAGACCAGAAGAACTGGATGGTGCCCAGCTATCATTACTGAACATTTTGATCAAAGATTCTGTACAAGAATTCTGATCAAAAGGGGGAAATGCAGAACAGAGTTTAAAATTCTCACAGACTCCAGACTTTCTAGCGCCAAGGAGGATCCCCTGAAACTATTGCTGTGAGACAATCTTTAAACCTTAAAGCATTAATATCCTCTGAAGTCTTAAAACTAAACAATAGTTTAACTTACTAGTAAAAAATGTCTACTTTTAAGAAGTATCTATATGGGATCAAAGCGATACCGGAAACTCAAACGATGAGACAGGAAACTTAGGGGACAATGAAGTTCTGTTAATGGAAGAGAAGCAACTCAGAAGGAGGGTGAGAATGGTTACACAACTCGATGTCACTAAATGGTACATGTAGAAAACTGCTGAAATGGTGTATGTTTTGCATGAAACAAAATTAATTATTAAAAAATCAATAAATAAAAACCGCTGCCATCAAGTCAGTACCAACTCATGGCAACCCCTTGTGTACAAAGCAGAAATGCTCTCACAGATTCTAGCCAAGAAAATCCTATGGGGCAGTCCTACAGGGCAGGATCAGAATCGACTCACAGGCACCTAACAGTAACACCACCCTACAGTGCTAAGGTTTTTTGGTGACTTTCCTTTACTTTGTCTTTCTAAGCAATCAATTCAGTTCTCAGAGAAACAATTTCCTTTCAACACTCAGGTTTTAAGTACAGGCATACCTCGGAGATGTTGCAGGTTTGGTTCTAGACCACTGCAATAAAGCAAGTATCACAATAAAGTGAGATGCATGAATGTTTTCGAGTTTCCAGTGCCTATAAAAGTTCTATTTACACTATACCGCAGTCTACTAAATAGGCAATAGCACTAAGAAAAGGTCTGAAATATTGCATGAGAAATATGAAACTGTGACAGAGACATGAAGTGAGCACATGGTGTTAGAAAAATGGCACCGACAGACTTGCTTGACACAGCATTGCCACAACCTTCAATTTGTAAAAACTGCTATATCTGCGAAGCATAATAAGGCAAACCACAATAAAGCGAGGTATGCCTGTAAAGTAATAGCTAATTAAATTATTACAATAATTAAGTACAACTGGTATAAACAGGTTAGGAAGTAAACTCAACCAACTGTTGTTAGTGCCAGCTCTGCTGTCGTTAATAGCAGCTCCATTGCTAAGAAGAGCAGGCCTGCAAGAAGGGCCTGCTGGCCGAGAGCCTCTCAAAATGTAGGTTCCAATTCAACCAGCCTATGGTGAGGCTGCTGATCCACGGACCTCACTTTGAGTAGCAAGATCTGGCTGACCCTGTACTTCAAGCTGTGAGCAGCACTATTCCTTACAGAGGAACCTACAGTGCCAGTTATTTGGGGACTCAGGTGGAAGTCAACTCAGAGAGCTTGTACTATGATACTTAACAAAAACCAGAAAGTCAGGAAAAGGACAGGTGGGAGATGATTGTGCTAAACTGCTCATTTTTTCATAGCAAGAAGTCCACAAGTACTGTCTTATGTCACTGTATCAAGAAATACATATTTCAAAATCAAATGGCTAATTGATCTACAGATATGCAAACTTTTATCAAAATCCCAGCTGACTTCTTTGCAGAAATTGACAAGACGATTCTAAAATTCACATGGAAATTCAAAGCAGCCAGAATAGAAAAAAACATTTTGAAAAATAACAAAGTCAAAAGACCCACACATCTCAATTTTAAAACTTACTACAAAGTTATAGTAATTAAATGTGGAACAAAACTCAAAATCATAAAAAAAAAAGGGGGGGGCCAAGTTTACTAGTCTGATAGAGCCTGGTGGAACCCCTGAGACTACGGCGCCTAACTGCCCGTCAGGTCTGGAATTGAACCCACACCTGTGGCTTCCAGCCAAACAAAAGACAGGCATGTTAGCTGAACATTTACATTAGCTAGATACACTTCTTTGTTCAGGGAGACAGCTCAGGGAGAGTACATAGGAGGGAAAGTCACAGGGAAGAGGTAACTATGGGAAGGGAGTAAGGAGAGAACTGTTGTACTGGGGAAAATTGCTGTCAATGTCATGAAACAAAGTATATGTGAACTGCTGTATGGAAAATGAATTTGCTCTGTAAACTTTCACCCAAATCACAATAACATTAAAAAAAAAAAAGCTACAGAAATGAAAACAGTATGGTACTGGCATAGGACAGACCTGTAGATGACTGGAAAAGAAATGAGAACCCAGAAATAAACCCTTACACTGAGGTCAATTAATTTTTGACAAAGGTACAAGATGATTAAGTGGGGAAAGAATCTTGTTTTCAACAAATGGTGCTAGGACAACTAGAAATCCACACAGAAAAGAATATACCAGATATCAAAATTAACTGAAAATAGACCAAAGACCTAAATACAAGAACTAAAACTATTAATATTCTTAGAAGAAAATATAGCACAAGTCTTCATGACCTTGGAGTAGGCAACGGCTTCTTAGATATGACATTAAAAGTACAACCAACCAAAGAAAACAGACGATCAAAACTGGGCACGATGAAAATGAAAAACTTTTGTGCTTCAAAGAACACCATCAAACAGTGAGAAGACAACCCACCAAATAGGAAAGAAAATATATGCAAATCATGTACCTGATAAAGGATTTGTTCCAGAATATATAAAAAACTATTAGGAACTCTTACAATTCAATAACAAAAATACAAATAACCCAATTAAAAAACAGGCAAAAGATGTGAATAGACAGTTCTCCAAAGATACACAGAGAGCCGACAAGCACATGAGAAGATGCTCAACATCATTAGCCTCAAGGAGATACCAATCAAAACCGCAAGACAGCACCCTGCACCCACTAGGACAGGTATATAACTCACATATAAAGCATGTACTACATACACACAATTTTCTATACGTGGAAAAACAGAATGACAGAGCAAAGCAAATGTGGTAAAATGTTAGTATTTGGAGAATGAGGGTAAAGGGCACGAGAATTCTTTGTACAACTCTTTGCACAATTTTGCAACTCTTCTGCAAGTCTGATATATTTCAAAATAAAAATTTAAAATAAACACTAGCTAGTACTATCATCCCGATTTTCAGGTAGAAAACTGAGGCACAGAGATAGGAAGGCACTTGCCCAAGGTCACAAAGCTGGTAAGTGCCAGAGCCAGAAATGAACTCAACCCCTTCCGACACCCACCCCTGCCCAGCTGTTCTGGAAACAGTTCTGATTTCCTCCCAGGGTGTCCTATATCCTCACCTGATGTCCTGTGTTGGAGTGACCTCAGGCTTCAGCTGCACACTCAGGGGCACCTTTCGCTCTGCCAACCAGATGGCACACTGCACGGCCACCTTCTCATCCCCGCCCACCACTGCTCGGGTGAGGCTCAGGGCCATCTCCTCTGCTGAAAGCCAGCACAGAAGGAACACATTAGCACCACGGAGTATCTCCTACTTACCTTCAACCAAACCAAAAAAAAAAAAAAAAAAAAACCCACTGCCATCAAGTCGATTCAGACTCACAACGCCCATTGGGTTTCCAAGGTAGTAAATCTTTACAGAAGTAGATTGGCCAATCTTCCTTCTGCAGAGAGGCTGGTGGGTTTGAACCGCCAACCTCCTGGTTAGCAGTCAACTCCTTAGGCATTGTACCACCAGAGCTCCTTACATACCTTCAAAAGGAAGCTTAAAACTCCCTTCCTCTGGGAGGCCTTCTCTGACATTCTCCCCACTCCTCCCCATCCCAGGCTTAGTTGGGTTTTTTCCTTCATACTTCCATTCGTTTATCTGACAAGCATTTATTGAGCTATTACTGTGTACTGGTTCCTGTTCCAGGAACTGGGATTCAACAGTGAGTAAGAAACAGGGTCCCCTCTCCTCATGGACTTCCTAGCCCAGTGGGGAGACAGACAACTAACAAGTTTAACCAAAGAACAACAAAAAAACTTCAGATTGTGATCCATGCTCATAAGGAGATAAACCAGGTAAGGAGATCAGGAAGGTTTCTGGGAGGTGGCAATATTGAAGCTGAGACTTGCAGAAGGAACTGGACGTGTCAGGCAGGACTCAGGGAAGAGTGTTCCAGGTGGAGAGAAAAGCAATGGCAAAGGCTTTGAGGCAAGAAATAGTTGGATTAGAACCAAAAAGCTATTGAGGTCAGCAAAGCCACCAGGCCTCGTGGACTCTAAGGGCTGTAGGTTTTGTTCTGAGAATAGGGAGGAGCAAGGGACGATTGAGAGCAGGGCAGTGGCGAGACCCGACTTGAGTCCTACAAAGCCGTGTGGTGGAGCCAAGAAAGGTGGCCATGAGACTCCCAACTAGCCAAGTAGGCTGAGGTCTGTCTGTCTCCCCAATCACCACCACCACCCACAGCAGGGAGGTCTCCAAGTTCAACGTCCTGTGTCCTCTAGAAGCTCCCACTCGGATCTCCGCACAGAGCTAACCAAGGAGATCTCGGGACCCAAGTAAATGAGTAACAAAACATCTCCGGAAGCCAGGGGCTCCCAAGGGAGAAAACTGAGGGCCAGGTTGACAGTGGGAAGGTCTTTGTCGGCGAGGATCCGCCTCATAAACCCGCTACCTGCCTCCCGTCTGTGCTCACCTTTCTTGGTCTTCTCGTCCATGTGGCGCAGGTGGGCCCATCCCCCCAGGAGGGGACTGCGGCTCCTGGAAAACGCTACCTCCGGGTCACCTGGGGGAGGGCGGACGAACAGGAACAACTAAACCTCAGTTGAGCGCCCTCAGGCGAGGCCTGAGCACTCTCTGGGCCGCCTTGTCCCCGGCGGCTGATGGGTCGCATCACACAAGCCCAGGAACCGGAGATCCGGCCTGGGATAGACACGAATTGGGACCCCGCATAAGAGCCTGAAAGGGCAGGGGTCACGGATCCGGGCACTCACGTAGCGAACGTAAAAACAGGACAGGCCTGCACCGGAGCTCCGGCCGGACGCCGTAGAGCCGAGCCACTGAAGCCAGGGGGAGGTACCCACTTCTCCTTCAGGCACGCCCGGTGCTGGGATTCCAGCCCACCACGCTCCCCTGCCCCAGAGGCCCCGATTTTCGAGAAGAAAAGCAGGTTTCGCGGAAGAGAAAGTGAAAGTGGCGGTCCCGGAAGTGGGGCGGGGCGGTAGCGGAAAATTGTCGTCTGATCCAGGAAACACCACCGCCCCCTGGCGCGCGCGCGCGTGCCCGAGAGGGCGACGCCGGGCGGAGGCCTAGTCCGTCCGTGGCTCTCCCTGTCCCGCTGCAGGACAAAGAAGGTTCCGGGCGCTCAATCCCCTATCCGGGCGTCCCCGCCCGGGTTTCCGGGGCTGACTCTCCACTCCCCGACCCTCACTCCCTCACCCGGCCGCGCTTCCCGCGCAGAGAACGGAGGGAGGACGGAGTGGAAGCAGGCTCTGGTGGACTGTCAGGGAGCGCGTACTGCGAACCCGCGCGACGCGTAGCCAGCCTCCGAGGTACCTGCTTTCCCTAGCCCCCAACACACCGTGGCCAGCCCGGGTCTTTAGCCTCGTTTGCAGGTGAGGAAACGGAGGTGCTGTTTGTGACTGCCCAAGGTCGCACAGCCTGGAATTGAATCCATGCCTGGCTGACTTGGGAAACCACCCTCTGCCGGCCCGACGTTGCCTCTTAGGTGGCGTTCACTCTCCACGTGTTTACTGAGTCACTAGTGAAGCGTGCGTCGCTTGGCACAGACCAGGCTTCTACATCCTCCAGGCCCCTCCGCCCCCCTTTTTACTCCCACCCCTCATCCCATAGAGCAGCAGATCCTGTCGGCTCCACCTGCAGAGTAGATATACCATCTGTCACCTGTCACCTCCATGCCCTACCCGCTCTGGGCTCTTTAGATGTCCTGCACCAACTTCCTTACTGGGCCCCTTAATTCCGCTTTTGCCCCACTACAATCTATTTTCCACCCAGCTGCCAGGGGGTCTTGTTAAAATATAAGTCAAAGTATGTCACTCCCCTGCTTAAAACACTCCTACAGTTCCCATTTCAGTTAAAGCCAAATTCCCCCAGGACCTTCATCTGCCCCAACACACAAACATCCCATCTCCCTGCCTTCATCTCAGACTACTCTCTCAACTCACTCCACTCAAGACCCACTGGCCTCCTGGATCTTGGATCCTGGAACAGGTCGGGCACACTCCTACCTCAGGGCCAGCTCAGTGAGGGTAGGGATATTTGTCTGTTTTGTTCCTGTTTGTTTTGTCTGCTGTGTTCCTGGTGTCTAGAACAGTTCCTAACTCATCATAGGTGCTCAAAGATTGTTTATTGAATGAATGAATGAGCATTTGAATCATTTGGGGAGCTTTTAAAAATCTTGATACCTGGGCCACATCCCAGATCAATTGAATTAGAATCTCTGGGAATGAGGCCCAGGCATCAGGATGTTTTTAAAACTCTCTGGTGTTTGCAATGAGGAGCCAAATTTGAGAATCACCCTTCTAGAATTTCCCATAGGGATGATCTTCTGGTGACAAAGTTCTTCAGTGTTTGTTTGAAAAGTTCTTTCTTTAAATCTCATTCTTGATAGACATTTTCACTGGATATAGATGTCTATCTGGCAGGCATTTCAGCACCTTGGAGATAGCGTTCCATTCTCTTCTAGCTTCCATTGTTGCTGTTGAGACATCACTTACCAGTCTAATGGCTGTTCTTTTTTAGACCAACTTTATTGAGATATAATTTGTATACAAGTAGTTTTAGTACATTTACAGAATTGTGCAACCATCACCACAGTCTAATTTTAGAATTTTTTGTTCACCTCAAAAAGAAACCCTGATCCAATAGAGCCTGGTGTAACCACTGAGACTATGGCCCCTAGCTGCCCTTCAGGTCTGGAATTGAACCCACAACTGTGGTTTCCAGCCAAACAAAGTACAGGCATGTGAGTTAAACATTTGCCTCAAGTGGACACCCGCCCTGGAGAGAACAATCATGGGAGAAGGAAGGGCTGCTTATGCACAGGGAGATAGCTCAGGGTGCAGAAGAGTATGAAGGGATGGACACTGGGAGGAGGTAACTATGGGGAGGAAGTGGGAGGGGAGCTGCTGCATTGTGGATTTTGGTCAATGACATGCGACAAGGTATATGTGAACTGCTGTATGAAAAGTGAATTTACTCTGTAAATCTTCACCCAAATCCTAATTAAAAAAAAAAGAAACCCTGACCCCAGTCACTCCTCATCCAACATCTCCACTCTTTTGTGCTGTCAGTTCCAACTCATAGTGACCCTATAGGACACAGTAGAAGTGTCCTATAGATTTCCTAGGCTGTAATCTTTACTGAAGGAGCCCTGGTTAGACACTCCGCTACTAACCTGACGGTCAGCAGTTTAAACCTGTGGTGCAATGAATTGCTTGGTATGGCCCTTCTACTCATGGTCTTTGTGACACCCACCAGATTGCTGGGTGGAACTATGCAAATGTAAGGTGCTTGTGGCCCACCAAGGGGACTGGATATCTTGCTAGTAATGTCATTTAGGTACATGGCGCCCTTCTGGAGGAGCCATGGAAATAAGCTGTATGGAACCTGCGGTGTAGTATATTACCTGGTATGGCTTTCTAGCCATAAGTCTTTGTAAACTCAGTGGTGGAAATTGCTGTGAGAGACTGAGGAGCTCCTGATTGTAAAGTTATCCACCTGGGGTATTTCTGTTGGACGTGGCACAAAGCAGTGTTCTGGGAAGTTTGCTCTCAGGTGCTTAAAATTCTGATGTTGATTGGCTAGTTTGGCCACTCTGCCAAGCTCAAAGGGAGACCTCCTAGAGGCAGAACGCTCTCTGACTGGTTGCTGAGAAAGGCATTCTGCTGAGAGAAATGCACTCCTGAGAAACACGTTGCTGGGAAAGAGATGCAGGAGACAAACGTTGCTGAGAGAGACACCAAGGGACATGCACTGCTGGGAGAGAGACTGTGAGAGACTGTTGGCTGAGAGGTGGTGGGCTGAGAGAGACTGAGCATTGTTCCTGAACTTGAATTGTAACCTGGTGATTCCCTAATAAACCCCATAATCTGTGAGTTTTGTGTGGTCACTGCAGTGAATTATCGAACCCATCAGAAAGGTGGTTGGTGCTGCAGGAGGAACGGTTGGTGTCAGGGTTGGTGAAAGGGCTGGAGGGAGGCAACATGTCTGGCCTCACATGAATAGGCCTTGGGCTACTGATGGTGATTCTGTCTTCCTCTTGTGGGGTTAGAGGGGGTCAGGACATGTGGCCTCCTTGCCCCTTTAGCAGAACCCTAATGTGGGGATTGGTTAGTTTTGTAATTCTGCTAGGCTTAAAGTGAGCCCTCCTAGAGGCAGAAGAGGTGATTCACTGCCATCCAAAATCCTGGGCCCTAGGTCCCTGTGCAGAGATGGCAGAAAGACAGTGGCCAGCAGAACCAAGAGACTGGCACAAGACAGAGCTGTGGGTTTGTCAGCCCACAGAGCATTTCTGGTTTTCTGCTGAGTGCATATGGGCAGAAGACTTGCTGGTGGAGTGGAGGGCACCTAAGTGTACCTATTGGCAGAGATAAAAGAGCTTTGTAACACTTGCCCAGGCAGGGCAGAGGCCAGGCCAAGAAGCTAAGGGCCAAAGAGTGACGTGTTTGAGGACATGGCCGAGGGGAGTTTGTCCTGATTGAAGAATTGTATCCTGAGCGTTCCTGACCCTAAGCTGCAACTTGTTGCTTCCCTAATAAACCCCCCAATCGTGAGTATTGTCTGTGAGTTCTGTGTGGCCATCACAGTGAATTATCAAACCCAGCAGAGAAGTAGTGGGTGCCATGGAGGGGTCTGTTGGTGTCAGAATTGGTAAAAAGATTGGAGGGTGGCAGCATGTCTGGCCTCATAGGAATCAGCTTTGGGCTGTTGGTGTTGATTCTTCTCTCTCTGCCTTGTGAAGTTAGAGAGATTCAGAGGATGATGCCACCCCTATGACCTTACAAAACCCATTAGCCCCTCTACTAGCCACTCCATGGGAGAAAGATTTAGCAGTCTGCTTCTGTAAAGAGTAAAGCCTTGGAAACCCTAGGGAGCAATTCTACTCCATCCTATAGGATCATTATGAATTGGAATTGATCCAGTGGCAACAAGTTTATTTCATTTATTTATTTTTGGTTTAGTCTTTACAGGAGCAAATTGCCAGGTCTCTTCTCCCACAGAGCAGCTGGTGAGTCTAAACCACTAACCTTCCAGTTAACACTGAGCACTTAACCATTGCACCATTAGGGCTCCTTCCCCCAACCCTAAACAAAAACCAAACCAGACCCACTACCATCAAGTCAATTCCAACTCATAGTGACCCCCATAGGGTTTCCAAGGCAGTAAATCTTTACAGAAGTAGATTGCCCAGTCTTCCTTCCATGGAGTGGCAAAAGCATTTGATTGTGTGAATCATAACAAATTATGGGTAACATTGAGAAGAATGGGAATTCCAGAACTCTTAATTGTACTCATGAGGAACCTGTACATAGACCAGGAGGCTATTGTTCAGACACAACAAGGGGAGACTGCAGGGTTCAAAATCACAAAGGGAATGTGTCAGGGCTGTATTCTTTCCCCATACTTATTCATTCACTTATTCTGTATGCTGAACAAATAATCTGAGAAGCTGGACTGAAGAAGAACGTGGCATCGGGATTGGAGGAAGAATCATTAACAACCTGCAAAATGCTGACGACACAACTTTGCTTGCTGAAAGTGAGGAGGACTTGAAGCACTTACTGATAAAGATTGAAGAATACAGTTTGCAGTATGGATTACATCTCAATATAAAGAAAATAAAAATTCTCAACAACTGGACCTATAAGCAACATCACGATAAATGGAGAAAAGATTGAAGTTGTCAAAGACTTCACATTGCTTGGTTCTACAATCAATGGCAGTAGAAGCAAGCAGTCAGGACATCAGAGGACATTTAGCACTGGGCAAATTGGCTGCAAAGGACCTCTTTCAAGGGCTGAAGAGCAAAGATGTCTCTTTGAGGACTAAGGTGTGTCTGACACAAGCCATGGTATTTTCAATCACTTTGTATGCACGTGAGAGCTGGACAATGAATAAAGAAGACTGAAGAAAAGTTGATGCTTTTGAGTTGTGGTGCTGGAAAAGGATGCTGAAAGTACCATGGACTGCTGAAAGATCTAACATATCTGTCCTGGAGGAAGTGCAGCCAGAAAGCTCCTTGGAAGCAAGAATGGGAGACTTCATCTCACCTACTTTGGTCATGTTGTTAGAAGGGACCATTCCCTGGAGAAGGATATCATGCTTGGTGAGATGGAGGGTCGATGAAAGAAGGGAAGGCCCTCAACAAGACGGATTGACAACAGTGCCTGTGGCCATGAGCTCAAGTATAGCCAGGATCGTGGAGCTGGCCCAGGACAGGGTGGTGTTTTGTTCTGCTGTGCATAGGGTCACTGTAAGTAGAATCATACAATATCTATTCTTTTATGTCTGACTTATTTCACTTGGTATGTTTTCAGTATTTATGTCATATCATGTATCACAACTTCATTTCTCTTTATGGTTGAATAACATCCTGTTGTATGTATGTACCACATTTTGGTTATCCATTCATCTGTTGGGTTTTTTCCACCTTTTGACTATTGCTACAATAAACATTGATGTACAAATATCTGTTTGAGACCCTGCTTTCAAGTGGAATTGCTGGATCGTATGATAATTGTTTAAATTTTTGAGGAGCCATCAAACTGTTTTCCACAGTGGCTGCAGCATTTTCCAGTCCCACCAGCAGTGGTGCACAGCATCCAGGGCCAGCCTCGAGGGGTGGACAGGGCTAAGGCAGAGAGAGAGGTGGCGGGCCTCCATCTGTCTTTGCTACTGCCACATGAATCTGGTGGTCGTCCTCCATCTGGTAGCTATGGGAAGACATGGCCTCAGAGTAAGTGGCGGTGACAGGACAAGAGAGAGATGGAAGCCCTTCAGCTCTTGACAGCCCTGAAATGACCTTTCCCCTCCCCTCATCACTTCTACTCCCACACCATTGGTCAGAACTAGTCATGTGACCCAGACCTACCTGTAAGGGCAGCAAGGACAGAAAAGAGAACAGCACGTGGTATATTTGGTGATGCCTGTCTTTGCCACAAAATTACCATAAGAGTAATTAAATCTTTAAAAAACATCTTTCTGTTCTATTAGACTGTGAGTCCTTGTAGGCAGGGGCCGTGTTGTCTTTCAGTAGGCATTCAATAATAGCTGTTGAGCTGCTAAGTGAATGACTAATGGGCAGGTCACAATATATTTATTGTATTTAGCTCCATGTTGCAGAGGAAATCCTCAAATTTCTAACAATCCCTCCCAAAAATGCATGTGATACTATAAAGCTCTGATGCAGTGATTAAATAAACATAAATAGAACATGAAAGACCCTACTAATTGATGTCAGGGGTGAGATTGCATCCATTACTTGGTAATAAGGGAATGGATTTTGCTGTTTGGGTAGTTTTCATGTGGCTGTCTCTGAGTTAACCTGGTCAAAAGTTCCAGCTTCAAGCCAAAACCAGGTGAGTCTTGTTCTCTGTTGTGTGGCCTTGGATGACTTATGGTCTTTCTAAACCTCATTGTGCTTATTTGTAAACAAGGCAGACCAGAGCACCTAGTGCCTAGGGTTGCTGATAGGATTGAATGAATTGGGTGTAATGTAGATAAAGAACTTGGCACAGTGCCTACCACTTGGCAGCCCTCATTTTGTTAGTTTGCCTCCCTTCCCCTTGCTCCACTGGCACAAGTGAGGGCATTCAGCCTGTGCAGGGGACTGGGGCAGGGGTTGGTGGAAGCTGGGCAGGGGAAGGGTACAAGGCAAGGGAGGCTTCATGTGTGTACACAATGGTTACTTAATTCACCCAGTCATTACTGGGAGCAGGGCTATGTTCTGGTCAATGCTGGGCACAGAGATGAGGTCATTACTGAGAGCAGGGCCATGTTCTGGTCAATGCTGGCCACAGACATGAGGCTGACTTGTCCCTCTCTGTATCAGTTAGCTTTTGCTGTATAACAAAACAGCCCAAACATGACTTAAGAAACTTATTTTATTTAGCTCATGTTTCTGTAGACCAGCCAAGTAATTCTTCCTTTCACTGATCTCTCCTGTGTGATGCTTTGGGCTACTGTAGCCATTGCACTGGTGGCCACCAAGGCAATAGAGCACAAAAAAAAAAGGGCCAGAGAACCTGGGTCCTTGCTACCAGCGGAGAGCCCGCCTCATCCACTGACTTCTCGTTGCATGTGAAAATGCATTTCACTCTTGTTTAAGCCACTTCTGATGCCGAGCTTCTGTGACTTGAAGCCAAAAACCACTCAACTAAGAGAGCTCTAGCTCCAGAAAAAACAGGGAATGCAGCTAGGTCTGCCGGGCTGCAGGGAGCTCCTCTCACACCCCATTCAGCTGAGGCTGAGACACAGGGCTCTAGCTGTTCACCAAGGATTCTGGTTTGGAGGCAGAGATGGGGAGACAAGGATAGACAGAATCTGGAGAAACAGATGTATTTTATAACTCCTTTATTAAGGCTCTAGTGGGTCAGTGGTTAAACCATTTGTCTGATAACCAAAAGGTCAGCAGTTCAACCCCACCAGCCATTTTACTGGAGAACGGTAAGGCAGTCTGCTTCCATAAAGCTTTACAGCCTTGGAAGCCCTATGGGGCTATAGGGTCACTATGAGTCAGAATCGACTCTATGGCATTGGGTTTGGTTTATTAAGGCACAAGATAAAAAAACATACACTCATGGCATCCAAAACCCACAGTGATGAAGTAAGATCGCTAGAACCAGGTCTGATACTTCCCAGGTGTCCAGAGGGCTATATACTCCTGCCTAATCCTGCCTCCCAACCCCTGTGCTCAGGTCAGGGGTCACCAAGGTGGACAGGCCTGGACCCTCATTCTAAGCCCTTTCTTGAATTAAATGAAGACCAGCCTCATACTTTGGATTCTTGTCTTCTGGCTCAAATCCTTGGCTCAGGCCTGGAAAAAGGATCTCTTGATCAAGAAGACAGCTGCTGGGAACACAATTCCCAGCATCCCTTGAGCTCTGGAGACCTTTGGCACAGGAATGCTTTCCTTTCTCTGAAGGTGCTAGACACAAAGGCAGCAGGATATTGGTGAAAGGGACTCTCCAAGGGACAGGCACCTCAGCTGCAGCACAAATGGTGCTGACACATGTGGGTCCTAACGTGTGTCTGGTGCAGACCCTGGCCAGTGGGCATGGAGAGGTGCCGCTGGCTCAAGAGCGCAGTGTATCAGTCAGCTCCATAAGGCAGGAGCGGGGTTGGCTCTTTTTCCAATGCTGTGTTCCAGCACCCAGAATAGGGCTTGGCACACAGCAAGCACCCAAGACGGACTTGTTGCATGCCCACTCCTTTGTACACAGGGCGTGGACACCACAGGTGTGTGGACACCACAGGCATGCAAACACACTGCATACTCCTCTTCCTTCCTCCCTCCTACAAGGCACTTAAAGCTTGACTTGGTTCAAAGGGGAGAGAGAAAGCTTGTAGACACCCTGAATCAATCCACTGTTAGCAGCTAAAGGTCTAGTAGGGTGGCCCTAGCCATACAGACCCACTTCCCTATCTCCCGCCTCTTCTTGAGCCGCCTCTGGCCCTGGCCCATCAGGAACCACCTGGTCAGCCTCCCGGAGGTGGGACCAGGATGGGGCTAAGGGGCGAGGATCCTCTCGCAGCCAGGGGTGCAGCAGGATGCCCGCAGCTGTGAGCCGTTCAGCTGGCTCCCGTCGCAGAAGGCAGCGGACCAGGCAGCTGGCCGAGGCTGAGAGGCCCTCAGGCAGGGCAAAGGCCCCGCGGCGGATCTTGCCAAAGAGCAGGGCAGGCTCTGAGTCCTGGAAAGGGTAATGGCCGGCCAGCATGGTGAAGAGCGCCACGCCGAGGCTCCACACATCCGCTGCCTTGCCAGAGTAGGATGCCCGTGAGCTGAGAATCTCAGGCCCCACGTAGGCTGGGCAGGCACGCTTGTCCCACAGACTGTCATCTGGCCCAGTCAGCACAAAGGCGTCCTCCAGGTTCTCCAGCACCAGCTTCGTCCTGAGGCCAGGGGAGAAGCACAGGGGTCAGGTCCTATTGCGTCTCCATCCCACTACCCCACGTTATACCCCTAAGGGCATCCACTTCCTGAGTGCCTGCTGGCATTTGGCAAATAGGAACCAGTCCCGTTAGTCTAGCATGACTGATCGTGCTTCACAAATGAGAAAACTTCAGCTCAGAGAGAGGTCAGTTCTGTCATTTTTTTTTCAGGTTTTCCAATTTTTTCTTTTAATTGTGATTTGGGTGGAAATTTACATAGTTAATTAGTTTTCCATTCAACCATTCCTACACATTTTGATTTCTTTGTTGATGCCATGTGTTTTCAGTAATAGAAAGCATGGTGAAATCAAAGAAAACATTTTTTTAAGGTAATAGGGATTTTGATACAATTATGTGGGTCACTTGTGTCCCAAGTGGACTCTGGTGGTATAATTGGTGGAGTGAGGTCCATTTTTGCAATCCCCACAACGTAACAGCACTCTTCCCACTCCCTCCCTGTTTTTACCAGTTGCATGTGTCCTTTCTTCCTATCCCTTCCTGCCTCTGAGCTTTATCCTTGGACAAATGCTGCTCCTTTGGTCTCTTACAGCTGATTGTTCTAACAGGTGCACACCTCCCTGGTGTTACTGTTCACCTTATAGGCCTATTGTGTGGTTGAAAGTTGGGCCATGGGGGTAAGTTTGGTTCCAGGCCTAAATGTTGTCTATGGGCCATAGTCTTGGGGTTTCACGAGTCTCTGTCAGACCGGTAAGCCTGGTCTTTTTGATGATTTTGAGTTTTGTTCCACATTTTTCCCCACTCTATCCAGGACCTACAACTGTGATCCCTTTCAGAGCAGTCAGTAGTGCTGGCCAAGCACTATCTAGTTCTTCTGGTCTCAAGGAGTAAATCATATTTCAAGGTCACAGAGTAATTACATTTCAACTAAGACTCCCAGAGAGGCATATTCCCCAATAGTCCCTTGGGGAGGAGCCTGAGAGGGTTAATTCTCAAACCTGATGCAAACTCAGAGTCCAAGCAGGTTATAAAGTAAGAGATCTAGAAAATGGGGACAGTGCCAAATATCTTAGTATAAACCTGCCTAAAAAGGGCACCACTAACAACATGGAGTCTGTGGTAGTTCAGTTTGTGTGTCAACTTGGCTGGGCCTGGTTGAGTGGCTGGGCAGCTGGTGGTAGTTAATCCCCATGAGGAGACTGGCAATCAGCTCCATGGTGGGCTCTACCACAAGCAGCTGGGTAGCTGCCTTTGGGTATGTGGGCTTCTTGTATATAAGGAGAAGCCTTTGGGAATGGTCTCTAGCCCATGGCATGCTTGGACCTTGCGTGTAGCTGTGTCAATGCTCAGCAGCCTGCCATGCTCTGCTGACCATGGGACTTAAAATGGACTTAAGTTAATGGCCTGCCGTGTGGTTTGGTAACATCGGGACTGTGCCTTTTTACTTGTCAACCTTGGGGCTTCCAGCCTCAGCAGCCAGCAGCCTTCTGAGTGAAGAAACGCCTCTAGCTCCAGTGAGTCGGGAGCAGGAGGCAGAGCTGGACCCCAAGGTTGAGGGGCTTTCACCCAGCCCCTAGAGCCTGGCACTTTGAACTTGGACTTACAGCCTCCAAATTGTAAGAATAAACTCCTGTTTGTTAAGGCCATCCCATTTGTGGTATATTCTTGTCAGGGCAGCACTAGGGAACCAGAACAGAGTCCTTGACTGGCACAGTTAACATGCTCGGCTCCTAACAGAGAGGTTGAAGGTTTGAGTCCACCCAGAGGCAGCTCAGAAGAAAGGCCTGGCAATCTGCTTTAAAAATATCAACATTGAAAACCATGTGGAGCACAGTTCTATTCTGATACACATGGGTCACCACGAGTCAGAAATCGGTTCCACAGCAACCGATGCATGCGTAGCTACAACACAGTCCGATACTGATCAAGTGTCCACTGGGTACTTGTCTCATCGCATTGTGTGCTCGTAAGCCTCTAAGGAAGAGAGCATTTTACAGATGGAGGAACTGAGTCGTCACCTAGCTCTAGGGTATGGAGCTGGGATTTGAGCCCACATGGTGGCACAGTGCCTGAGGCATTGGACTACTAACCAGAAGGTTGATGGTTTAAACCCACCAGCTGCTCCGCAGAAGCAAGATGGGGCAGTCTACTTCCATAAAGATTTACCACCTTGGAAATCCAATGGGGGTCGCTAAGAGTCAGAATCGACTTGATAGCAGTGGGTTTGTTTTTTTTTAGTTTGTTAGGCTCCAGAGTCAGTGCTATGAACCTCTTATGTTGGCCCAAAAGAAGCCAGAAGTCCATATTTTCATGAAAAAGTCCCAGTCTTTAAATATTGGCAACCAACTCCAATTGAAAACACAAGCAAACGTGTATGGGGGGCAAAAAAACCCTTTTTGAAGGTGAGGACCAGATTTGCTGGTCCAATAGAGCCTGGTGGAACCACTGAGACTATGGCCCCTAGCTGCCCTTCAGGTCTGGAATTGAACCCACACCTGTGGTTGCCAGCCAAACAATGTACAGGCATGTGAGTTAAACATTTACCTCAAGTAGACACACGCCTTAGAACAATCATGGGAGAAGGAAGGGCTGCTTATGCACAGGGAGACAGTTCAGGGCGCAGGAGAGTACGGAGGGATGGTCACTGGGAAGAGGTAACTATGGGGAGGAAGTGGCAGGGGAGTTGTTGCATTGTGGTAAACTGTGATCAATGACATGAGACAAAGTATATGTGAACTGCTGTATGGAAAGTGAATTTGCTCTGTAAATCTTCACCCAAATAAAAATAAATTAATTAAAAAGAAGAAAAAGAGAAAAAAAGGAAAAAAAAATAATCTTACAAAATATCACCAAAGATGATACTGTATTATCTCTAGCATGTCCTTATTTCATTATACCTAAAAATAAAAAAATAAAAAATAAAAAAAAACCCTTTTTGTGGGGTGCCATTTGTGGCCTCTGCTTTAAACAAACCTCAGAGCACTCTAGATTACGTTAATAATAATTATTCTATTACCACTGCTTTTATCTTCTTCCTTAAGGCACTCAGTTCCTGGGTGCCTACCAATATTGTGCAAACACTGACCAATCCTATGAATCATAGCAATATTGAAGCAGCATTGTGGGTCCATTTTACAGGTGAAGAAAGCAAGGTTCAGGCAGCTGAAGCCATTGCTCAAGGCCAAAGAGCAAACAGGAAGCAGAACCGGGATTCGAACCCATTGTCCCTCTTCTACCCACTCAAAAAACCCAATGCCATCGAATTGGTTGTGATTCATAGTGACCCTACAGGATAGAGGAGAACTATCTCATAGGGTCTCTAAGGCTGTAAATCTTTACAGAAGCACACTGCCTCATCTTTCTCCCACAGAGAAACTGATGGGTTCAAACCACTGACCTCTCGGTAAGCTGCTGGGCACTTAACCACTGCACCACCAGGGTTCCTTCTACCCACCAGACTAACCAAACCTACTGCCATAGAGTCAATTCTGACTCAGCGACCCTATAGGACAGAGTAGAACTTCCCCATAGGATTTCCAAGGCTATAAACTTTACAGAAGCAGACTGCCTCATCTTTCCCTCAAAGAGCAGGCTGGTGGGTTCGAACTGCTGACCTTTTGGTTAACAGCCAAATGCTTTAACCACTACGTCACCAGAGTTCCTCCTCTACCTCTGCTTCTACCTACAGTGCTTCTCAAATTATTACCTTGAGAAGAAAAGGAAGCATGTTTTCACCTCCTGGAGGTCTAGGGGTGTCATCTTGACCCTAAGCTCAAAGTTTATTTAAAGTGTGTTAGCTTAAAGATCATTCTTCATTTTACATTCTGCGCCTCACTAAAGGCTTGTTTGTTTTAATCTAAAATGTAATGGAGGAAGGAAAGAAGGAAACAGAAGATCACCACTGCGCTAATAGAACAATAGCTGCAGGCAAGATGCTGTTAGCATTAGTGGCCAAATGTCTGGGGAGAAACTTGATGTTTATGTTGCCGGAAGGGAACTCCTCCAGGATACTTATTCACTCAAAACCAAAACAAAACCCACTTCCATGGAGTCAGTTACACCGCATGGCAACACCACATGTGACAGGGAACTGTGCTCCATACGGTTTTCTTGGCTGTCATTTTTACAGAAGCAGATCACCTTTCTGTGGCACCGTTGGGTAGGTTCGAACTGCTAACCTTTAAGTTAGGTGGCACCACCCAAAGACCTTATTTGTCAATTACGTGGAGAAAATTAGGCCCTTTTTAGAGTGGAGAAACCTGGCAGATGCTACCTTGACCAAGGGATCGAGTAATCACCAGTAATAAGACATAGTGACATCACACATATCCTGATAGGATGTGTCGAGAAGGATACATCATGTCTGGGCTATTCTTGCCAAAAATGTATAACTTCAGTTAAATGTCAGTTTAACTGTCAGAAAATACCCGTCAAATCCAAACTGAGGGATGTTCTGCAAAATAGCTGGCCAGTGCTCTTCAAAACTCTCAAGGTCAGGCGGGGCAAGATGGCGGACTAGGCAGAAGGATTGCACAGACCCTCTTCAACAAAGAAAAGGGAAACCAATTAACACAGATACAGAAGATAATCTTGGGCCACTGAGCCTCGAAGGAAAGGATGCAGATTTGGACTAGGCCCCAACTAGCAGAAGAATTTGC